GGGAAGGCCCAGCAAACAGGAACCTTCTCCAGAGGTGAAGCGGCTACAGCCACACCAGTAACCCCTTCAAGGCTCGCCATTATTTTGAAGCCTCTTCTTTCAAGGAGGATGACCCTTCCTCCACCTTTTGAAGCGAGCCGGGGTTTAGGAAACTTTTATTATTAAAAGGGTTCGTTGTTAAAAGTCCTGCAAGTACATCGTTTCCTTTTTTCCCCCAATGAATCTGTTTGGTAGTAGAAACAAAGCCTTTTTTTTAATGCATGCTGGAAATCCACCGCTACGAGCGGAGATGCGTTTAAAGGGGGAACGGTGGCCCAAGAGGAAGAGATGTATTAATTAATTCCAAGGCAATTGGCCATGGAAACTATAAACGCGCCCCTGTCCAGGCGTGGTGTATCTCTTAATATTGCTTGGGGGGCTTCAATAGATAGGTAGCCCATGTATTTTTAAATGGTAAGATGCTACTTTTTGAGCGGTGACACTACTTTTAAGCAGAAGAAAGCAAGGAAGGTTTTTCTGAGAGCGCTTCTGTTTTTCTGAACAAGCAAATGTCTTCCGTTTTTCCTGGACCAATTTAGAGCAAAGTCGAGCAAAGATTTAAAAAGCATTCACATTATTTGTGGGGGATGTATGAAAGAAGTGCTAAGATTTGCCAGTCCACAAGGGTGCGGGGAATTCAGGAAAGAGAGATCCAGACTGAGCGATGAGAACACGAGCATTTCCTACACCCATCCCTTACTCTGTGGAGGGAGAAGTTTAAACAATAACGTAATAAATAAATAGAGTTGGCACCAGAAATATGAAATCTAGTTTGCTTAAGTGCTCCTATTTGCCCCCTTGATGAGTTTAGACTATGTAGAGTCCAACTAGTAGGAGAGAAGTCTCAGCTAGGGAACACCTCAAATTCAGTTGAAGTGTCTGCGGTTTGTACCACGTTGCAACATCATTTTGCACACTCCAAATTCTCCAAATGCACCAGCAACGGATTCTCCCCCAGATAAATTGAAGACCCACCAATCGTTCTTGCACCAGACCCTGATCTTGGTGGGTTTCAACCTTTATTAAGTTTTCAGTTGCTGAACCTCTTTTACAAACTCAATCCAGTGGGGCTGTTTACACCTCGGAGCATTGTACAAACCTAGAAATTAATTCTGCACCCAGGTTAACCGGGTTTGCAATCTCAGTCTTGGAGTTCCCGACTCTGTCTCCTCAAACTGATGTTAAAACAAGAGCGGTCAACGCGCCACCCTGACACATTCTGGTTTTTATTGCATTTTATATCTCAGTTTCTTTGGTTTCTTTTTTTTAATAGATAGACGTTTTATTACATTTCCCAAAAAGTTAAAATACAGAAAAATTTAAAAAAGGGGGGAGAGGAAAAAAGCGGGGGGGAAGACATAGAAAAGAAAGAATAGCTTCCGACTTTCCTGGGTACGGGTATAAATGTAAAATATATTTGCCTGTTACTCTAGCATCTAAAAGTTGACATCATAAATAAGTTTTCTTGATTTCTGTCCTTTCCTTTCTGTTGGATCTTGCTGCAATGTAGTATTTTGGGACCCCCAACTGTATGGCATGAAGCTTGTTCAGACTAGGGTAGTGTTTCTCAACCTTGGAAGCTTGAAGATGCGTGGACTTCAACTCCCAGAATTGGGAGCTTGGCTGGCTGGGGAATTCTGGGAGTTGAAGTCCACGCATCTTCAAGCTTCCAAGGCTGAGAAACACTGGATTGGAGCCTTCGGCATGACTGAAAAATCAGCACCTTGAAGGGGAAAGTGGTCCTCATATTCTCTTTTCTTTTAAGACTCCCCATCTTCTTCTCACTCACTGCCTCACAACCTCACAACCCCAATTTTCCTTCTTTTTTTTTTAATGAGGCAAATGAGTCTTGGAAGCAGAGGAAGACAAACCCTGTTGCCATGTGGAAGGTCCCCACGACTTTCCACGCCCCGGGAGGTGATGGCAGAAGCCCCCCACCTCAGGGGGTCCCAGAGCACAGCTTAAATGTCGTTCTCTTGCCCTGGGCACTCTCAAAAATAACACACATCCTATTTTATAACCTTCAGATGGAAGGGTTGGAAGTAGACCAACCCCATGCCCAGGGCAGAAATACATTATTTTGGCGTTTCTGTCCGATGGACATCCGTGGGCATTCCGATACGCTTCGTGCGCCAAACTCTGCTTTTTTGGATTTGCGTGGCAAACTGGCACGCAGGTCCATCATGGACGGGGCCTCCACTGTGAGCTGGCAATGCCCGTTCCACCATTTAACTTAATTTGCTAGACCGCTAACCCACCTTTCCTCCAGAAGCTCGGGCTGTCCCTTCACTAATTTTTGCCCGCCACCTAGCATCTAATGAGTAGGAGGCACATCATTTTTTTTATCAGTAAATGGAAAAAATAAATAAGTTTGGTCTGTTCCACCACAACCCGGTGAGGTAGGCTGGGATGAAGGAAAGTAATTCGCTCAAAGTAATCCGGGGAACCTCTGTAGCCGAAGAGGACTTGAACTCGGGTCTCCTGCATCGCAGCCCAGCACCCCCACAGGCACAGCCAAAAGTGTAATTTTTCCAGGAGGCAAATGCGTGATGTCACTCACCACCACTGCTGCTTTCAACCCTCCCATTGTGCTTTGTATTCAGTTTTTTTTAATGGGCTGGTGGGCATGCTTGCCAGCAAAGGACTTTGCTACAGCCCCAGGTAGGGGTGTCTATAGGGGGAGAGTCAAAAAAGTCAAGATGGCACCCACAACCACGCAAGATGGCAGCCAACTGAAGCCCCACCATGCACATAAAATGGGGTGGGGCTTCAGTTACATGGTCGTGGATGCCATCTTGACTTTTTTGACCCCCTCTCTGTGGACATCCCTACCCCCAACATTGTCCATCTATAGCTTCTCCTTGAATTAGCTTTAGAAGTAGTCCCTGGGTAAGAACGCCCAGTTTACGGATGACCTATAGTTCAGAATGGAGCCTATTGTAGCAAAATTTGTGTTAAATCCACAATGATTCGAGTTAAATCCACAGCGGGGATTTAAAGTGGGGAGTTCCCCCCCCCACACACACAACTTTTAAACCTCTCTCCAAGTTACAGAAGATGCTGAACCCTGGCTGGGTTCCCGTCCCTCCAATGCTGTTGAGCTTGACTTAGAAAGAACCCCACTAACCCTTAAGGTGCCTTTGGTAGCCCAACACCCACTGGAGGGGTGATGGAGGGCTACATCTCCCATAACCCCCAGCCAGCACAGCAAACACCCATGCTGGCCAAGCGTTATGGGGATCATCATGCAACATTTAGGGCTACAGGATTCAGGGTCAAGAAAGTCAGTGTCCACTAGATGGCAGCAGAGACACACCAAAGTCTCTAATTCTTGGCCACCAACTAGTGCTGGTGACAATCTTATGGTGGCCCTAACAACCCTTCTAGAAGGCTGGCATTAAGGGAGATATAAATTTAAGGAATATCAAACAAACCTGCTGGGACAGGCCACAGCCCATCCTAGTCCAGCATTTGGTTTCTCCCTACCTGATTCCTGCGAGATGCTCACAAGGAGGAGATGGAGACCCACCTCTCTTCCACTGTTGTTCTCCTGCAACCGATGTTGGAAGCATGATGCCCCCAACCTGGAGATCACATGGAGTCTTCAAGACCAACAGCTCTTGATAGACCTGTCCCCCAGGAATTTATTCCACCTCCCTTTAAAGCCATCCAAGTTAGTGGTCATCGCAACATCTTGCGGGAATGAATTCCACAGATTAATTCTATATTGTGTGAAAACAGCACTTGGTTTTGTTCCAGTTTTCCTTTCGGCTGGCTTTATTGGATGACCAATACTTTGAGAGCAGGAGAAAATTCTTCCCCGTCCAATTTTCCCATGCTATGGAACCCTAA